ATTCCTGTGCTCTTATCCATATTGCTTCAAAGTTGAAAAATTGCAGTATCTATACTTTAGCAGATATTTGGAAAATTGCTCACTGCTACCTGGGGAGGCGCGCCTCACAGTTTGGAAAACGCTGATGTAACGGAAATTAAGCCTGTGTATATTTGGTTGTATAAGTGCTGGACACTACACCTCCTAGCATAACAGAAAACTAGAATATCTATGAAAGAAGTCCTGGATTTTGTCTTAACGTCTTCATTTACTTGCAGATTAACAATATGAATTGATTTAACTCATATTATCAATCAAAATATATTATTTAAAAAATGTCTGTGTTGACAAATAGTTAAAGATGATAATTTCAATTGTAAATGTTACAGTTGTATATAATAAATATGTTTTGAATATATGTGACGAAGAATGTAATTAATCATCGAAATGTGTGCAGGATGATTAAGAATTAAGTGTGTGTTATATAAATCGCATGATTTATTAAAGTACTCTCAGATGGCGACTTTGGGTGCATTCGAATGACACCGAATTTAAGGGGTCTTCTATGCAAATTTCGAAAGAATCACGACATGCATATATACACACACATACACACGCTCTTATGCAAATAACCGATGCAGCATTTCACTTAATACACTCGTCGGCAAATGAAATGAAAAACAACATAAAAATTGTGGGATGATGCCCCGACCCGACGATGTGATCGTCCATCGGTATTTCGAAGCATAATAAATAGAGTGGATCTTGATTAATTGAGATATGAATGCAAATTAATAGCACTTATAAAGCATCTTATCTGCACGGGGCGATGATTAATGAGGCGTCTTCTGCGGTAGGCCCGAAAACCAGTTCTGAAGACGAAATGATGAATCAACGAAATGCGAATCGACGCGCGCGAGCACGCCACCAAAAACAGAATAGCTTTTGTGCAAATATTGGGGTAAAAGGGTTCTCCGGTGCCCGTCATCGCGCATTCATCATCGTCCTTCTTTTATGTTTTCTTTTGTTGGTGCTGCACTTCTTCTCCTCGTTTCTTCCTTTACAGTTAAAAACTTGACCGGTCAGATACCTCGGTCCACCTCTAAGAAACAAATCCGCCGACTTTTTCGTGTTTTCGTACATTTTTCTCTCATAATTTTTTTCTCGCTTATTTCCTTTTTTTTTATGTTGGAGACATTTCGCGACCCCGGGATTTCCGTTTCGCAACATTTCTCCGCTTTGTCTCCAACTATCCACCGACTCTTTTGTTTTTCTTCCACGCGCACACTTTGTTTATTCTCGGAGATTCCTCGACCGACATAAGTTACATAGAAACAAGACCGTCGTTGTTTCTTTCTTTTTTTATGTATATATACATACACATAATCTTATTTTACTTTACTGCATCATCCATCCATTCTGCACTCTCGGGGTTGTGTTCGGATCTCTTAAAGGAGAATTCCTTGTTGGCAATTAAAGTTAATTGGCGCGCGGAGCTTAGGATCGTTGATAATTTCTTTCCTTTCCTTTTTGTTCTCCTCTTCCTTTCTGCTGATATTATTTACGTACCGGTGGGATTTTGTAACGGGGGACGCGGCCCACGGAAGAATTTCGGGTCGATTACCGACCGCCAAACATGGCATCATCCATCGACAATACTCGAAACAACAGGTTCATCGATTTGCCCGCATTTCTTCAAATATTTCACACTTTCCGCAGTTTTGCACAGATGACATCAATGTTAAGGTCATCAACAAAGAAAGAATGCACCGAACTGAAAAATATTTATATTACTTATTAAACTATTTGTCCGAAATCTAATTTTAACTTTACCTTTCTTCTTTTTTTGCAGCAGCATTTTAAATTTTATTTACATATTACCAATCACCATTAAAAACAATTATTTTCCTACAATTACAATTAATTACAAAATCAATTGCAAAAATTTAATTATCTAATTCGAATGAAGATAATATTTCTTAATAGGTTTAATTTCTAATCATGTATACGAAATAACTAAATGTTATCGTTTTTGTTTATACATCAAATCCCTATTATTAATGTTGTTTAACTTTTGTAACTTATTCAAAATTAGAACAAATTACTGTGATTAAAAGTAATAATGAGAAATATGAGAATATAAAATCATTAAGTATTATCACAAATTGGCAGATGAGAATGCGATAAAAGTAAAACCATAAAACGTCTATCAATAATTCATTTGATTAACACCTGCTATAGAATTGTGAATTGATACAAATATAAATACATATATTCCATCTTTCTGTATACCAGTTTCCATTTGGAGAGAAAGAAACGAAGAAAAAATAAATAAATGAAAGGAAGAAAAAAAAAAGCATTGCAATTGCAAATGGAAATACCTTCGAGTTCGCAGAGATTCTCTGTACCTGGCTTAAGATCCGATTCTACTTACATATAATATATTATATACATACATAAATGTATATAAGTGTGTGTATGTGTGTGTGTATTTTTTGCGGCAGAAGGAGGGATGAAGATGAGTTATATAAGAGAGCGGAACGACGGCGCAACTTTTGTAATCCGCGAAAAACTCGAGCGATAAAATGAGGTACGCACTTTTGTTCCTCGTCGTTGGCGCCGTCGTCTTCGCAGCTGAAGAAGGGCTTCAGAATGTCTACCAGAACAATCCGTTTCTGAATGGTAAGAACTACAGACCATATATCGATTAATGCTTAGCATTCATTTGCTAACAACAATACATTTCAACAGTTCTGAAAATAACAACAAATATTTTTTTTTAAATTTTCATAAATTAAAACGTATACGTACATTGCTTTGTCAGTCAATTAACATCTAATACTCATTTCCTTTCATTTGTACTTAATACAATGTTTTTTTTTCTATTCATTTAATTCCTGAAATAAAATAATACAAATTAATTTAAATTCACTTTAGCACATTACAATCTATTATAAATAAATAATTTGTTATCGAATTCAAGAAAACTTTATATATGAAATTTGTGAATTATATGAACTTATTTCTAATTTAAATTTTTATCTTAAATTGTAAAGATTTCATTAATTAACTTTTCTTTTGTGATTAATCTAAATGTTTTATAAGTTTTTTAAAAGATTTTATCAATTGATTTGTTTGAATATTTGAATCTGAAATTTTATAATTATGAATTGTAAAATTTTCTTTGTTGTCTTTTGTTGTTCTTGTTGTAAACAAATTATAATGATATGCGTGTAAAGAGGCGTCTTGTACTAAATTTGCGATACTAGTTATTAGCGTGGGTCAAGGACATTAAATTCGTTTTTAGAATCTGTTCCGAAGCGAATGTCCACCTCTTTCTATGTATTCTTTTTTGTCCGTCTGGTTCTTCTTTAATGGTAAACCTAAATCACCGCACGCGGAGCGCATAAGACAATCGAAGACCACCGCTCTAATGGTGGTCCGCAAAATGCACTTTTTTTCTCTACCTTTCGTCCTATCCATTATATGCAGGATACTTTTAATGAACTCGACCCACGCGATACCCAAAAAAAGGGTATTCGTATCATTAAATTAAGTATATGAACGTAGAAATCCCTTTTAATCATCATCATCCTCGTATCTCATTTCATTTTTGTTCTGTACATTTCACGGCAATTAGAGAGCAGCAATCTTACAAGGCAGAATGTGAATCAGTACCAGGTGGCGGTGGTTTTGCCTTCGCCGCAATACGATCCAAACATTGGAAGTCATTTTCCAGGCAATTATCAACCTGTACCGCCGAAATACGTTCCCACTTACCCACCGAAAGTCACGACCGCACCTAATCTTGAGGATTTGAGCAAGTACTGCTTGAAGCCGCGCGGACAATTCCCGAGCAGATGGTGCAACAAGTTCGTCAACTGCTGGGAGGGTAACGCCGTGGAGCAGTTCTGTCCACCGACGTTGGCCTTCGGTCCTCTGGGTTACTGCGATTACGCCTACAACGTTGACTGTCGCGGCAAACCTACAGCACGTAAAGATACTCAATTGTATGTTATAATCAATGTTTCTTTTAAACGAAATTTCATTTCAGCTTTTCCAGAGCAACCACCGACATCTGGAATTTGGCCGACCGATGGAAGTTACGTACCACCCTCTACGAATCATCCACCAATCACTATTCCCACTGTTAAACCTCCGGTCACCAAACCTACGCTCCCACCATTAACAGGAACCTACCGCCCGTGGGAATCAACCACTCCGGTTACGCTGCCCACAGTACCAACTCGTAATAGACTTTAAACCATCTAAAAAAAAGAAATTCTTCAAACATTTTTTTTGCAGATAATCCTTACTTGAAGAAGTACTGCTTGAAACCGCGCGGACAATTCCCGGGCACCAGCTGCGACAAGTACGTGAATTGCTGGGACGATTTCGTGATCGAACAGGAATGCCCGAACGGCTTGCACTTCAACGCGTACAGAAGCTATTGCGATTATCCTCTGAGCGCTAAATGCGGAGCAAAAATCGATCCGAAGATCGCGATCGAAGAAGTATGCCCGAAGGAGAATGGTAGCTTCAGGAACAGGACGAATTGCGCCAACTACTACGTGTGCGAGAACAACGAAGTCATCGGAGAGTTCCAGTGCCCATCCGGCTTCCTCTTCGACGACGTAAATACCAAAATTTTCGACATTCCTCTCACATAACATAAATATGTTACCTGCTCTTTCAGGGTCTCGGCATTTGCGATTCCGCCGATAAAGTGAACTGCGCGCATTCCTACTCCACGGGCTTCAATTTGAGGAGCGGTGATTGTTTTCCTCAATTTCATACTAATTACGCCACTAATTTATCATTCTTTCAGCTAACGTAGATCTCTGCCAATACTTCCCTGAGAGGACGGTCTTCCGCCTGAGCGAGGACTGCACCAACGTCATAGTCTGCAGGCAGAAAGGAACGGAGTTCGTGAGATGTCCCATGGGATTAACGTACGACTCTGTTGCAGATAAATGTCTTCCTCCAAACCCAGAGAGATGGTAATATAAAATCTTAAAAATAAAATCGTTGAAATTTACATTTCTCGCTTTGCAGCTCAACATATTACAAGACTGAAACGAAGTACGGGTCTTTCTAGTTTGAATTCATTTGCGCAATTCAACTAGTTTCTCTCCTCTAAATTAAATACGGGATCTTCGGTGGTGGGTATTTTCTTTAAGTCTGTAGGATCGTCCATGTAAAAATAAGAAACTCCTAAACTTTTAGTTTTAAGACAAAATAACTTTGAGAGGTACTAGCCACAATTTCTTACATTCTCCTTTTGTGAAGGACAATGTATATAAATGCATGTTTTCTTTTTCAGTGAGAATCATTTGCTTGTATCTCTCAGAGTTGGGTAGTGTGACTGTTGTTATCTAATAAGAATTATTTTTTGATAATAAAATATGCAAGATAGAGACGAATTTGATTTACAATATCCCAATTCCAAAATCAAATCATCAATCCTATTCAATTATCATTTTAAACAATATTTATATAATGTTTCGAGAATCAAAAACAAAATTAATTAATTAAACATTTCAAAATCTCAAAGTTACAATTGGAAATGTAAATATGAAAATACATATTACAAATTTACTGTATTAATTAGATTTCACCATTGGAATATTGCTAATCTTTAATACATAATAGTTATTATAAATTTACTTACCAAAAGATGAAATAAACCGAAAAAATATGATTCTAAATTTGCAGGAAAACCGAATCAAACACAACTTACTTGTTATGTTTCTATAGTAACAACTAGTTCATTTGTTGGATTTAAGTACAGCACCGATAATTACTTCGTCTTATATCGTTAATTAGTTTTCAAATATTTTTTCAAACTCATGGCAACGAACTACATGTATATTTGGTTGCATAATATTCGAATAGGAACAACGGTTGTATTCGAAAATTTCTGTCTGATTTCTGTTGCCATTCGTTCCGTTAAATGCGGTTATGTTTATATATAAGTATTTTTATAAATTTGAAGAAGGATAAACTAAGCGACAATGTTAACAATTAAATTCGCACCGTTCGTTCTCGCGATATTTCTTATCAGTTTACAATCGGCGTGGTCTTCGTGTGAGTGTAGATAATTTGAAAATATTTTGTTGTCTGAGGTTATGTTGATTTTTGTTTGTAGCAGCTTACTTCCTGCAGCAAGGAGATGTCGTCCAGCACAGGCAGGAGCAGGACAGGTTCCAGATATACTGCTATCGGGGAAAACCAAAGTACATCATCCATCTGTGGCAGACGGTTATGGTTTGTGGATTTGTTTCTTTATCCTCTTGATTTATTTATAGTAATGATGTTTGTTAATAGTTGCAAGTGGATTTGAAAAATGATAATTACTTGACGTACGAAGGACCCACTTCAGATGCTGTGTTGAAGGAATATTTGGCACACAGATCCAGTTGGAGCCTGAACTTGTTCTCATGGAAGCAGAAGCAAGTCCGATTGGATCCATTTAATCAGAGCTGCATTGGCATCGACAGCATGGAGGAGTACAAAGTGTACTTGAATATAATCAGGATTGATTACTGGAAGGTGCTGAGGATGGCTGTGGGCATTTTTCTGTTTCTCTCCGCTAAGAAGTTGAGCAGAAACACACTGTTCTATTATTTGTGTGGAATCAGCTTCGGAATATGCGCTTCCTTTTTGATACTCATCTATTTTATAAGTAAACTTTTCCCTAGGGTAAGCATTGAGTTATAAATCTAGATAAATTAATAATATTTTTAATTTAAAGAAACCTATGATGTACGGAGTAGCAATTTGCGGTTGGACCGTTGGAATCTACATTGTGCAAATGCTTTGGGAAAACATCCGTGTGATCCTTTTGAATTATCAAACTCACGTCGCGTGTTACGCTTTTATTACTGGAATTATCTCTTTTATCGGTAAATTCAGATGAAAATTATCTTATTGTACAATTAATTAATTGTTATTTCAGTTTGTTATTGGTTTGGACCTGTGAAGAACGAGAGGACGCACAACATAATCCAATGGACTTTGCAGACGGCAGCTTTGGTTTTGGTCTTCCTTAGTAGTCAATTTCAGGAGGCGGCGATGGGACAGATTGTGCTTCTGGTCTTAGGTCACAATTTCCCGAAGCGATGGATAACGAAATCGCAGGCAATTTGGAAGCGGCAATTCCCGCCGAAAATCAATCTGATTTCTGAAGAGCAGTACCACGAGCAAGGCGTGAAGGAGACGACGAAAGCCATAGAGGATTTACGTAAATTCTGCTCGAGTCCGGATTGCAATCAGTGGAAGATGTTCTTGAAACTGAAGGATGGAAAACGGTGTGTATTCATTGTTATTTTTAGTTGATCGATGTGTGCATAATTCGAATTCATTTGTAGCTTCGCTTCGTTCATGGAAGGAGATTCGCATCTGTCGGATCAGGAGATGATCGATTACGAGTATTCTATAACGGGAGAACCGTTCGAAACAACCGATGACGAAGACGATCTTATGACTGAGGAGGAGGACTGATGAGGGTGTTTTCTTTTTTTTTGTGTACAGAATATTTTACATTTTGTAAGTTATAATAATCAATAAAAGAATATATTATAAGGTTAAAATTATAATAAATAAAATTTATTTTTCATTTTTTGTTTATTGCAATTCTCATTCTAAAAACTAATTCTGCGATTGAATCATTAATTTTAATTCGTTTTTAGCATCTACTTTTCTTTTGTATTTTTTTTTGTTGTTGTTTTGTTTGTAATTAATCTTCTTCGTTGTCGTCCTCTTCCAAGATTATTTTGAAGCTGAACGGCTGGAAGGGATAGCCCAAACCGGCGTAGAATTTGCTCATGAATTCGACCCTGAAATATTGCGAGTAGTTTCTTTTAGTAATTTGTTAAAAAAAAAATGATTGAAGATTGTTGATTTACCAGTGGAGACGCAGGGTGTGAAGGAAAGCGCTGAGACCTTCCATCATGACGAGGACTCCGAGCGTCAGCACGGACCAAAAGGCGAAGACTATGTAGAGTTTGATGGAGCCAACGAACGATGGGTCGCTGAGGCCCATCTTCAGGACCATGTTCCACAGTACCTCAGATAGCTCTGAAGAAAAAGAAAAGAGAATTGATTAGATAAGTTGTTTGTTGGTTTTTTAGTTTAGTTGGTAAGTTACGGGCGTGAGCTAAAGAGAGAGCCCAGAGACGCAGATAAGAGGCAGTGTGGGAGACTGTGCTGAGCACGTATTCGATGGTGTGGATTGCTTGGTGGATGAAGATCTCTCCCATCGGCTCCTCCTCGTGCTCGTTGTGACCCTCCAACTGTTTGGGTTCCTCGACAACTTCGGGCTGCAGTTCCATGCCCTGATTGATGTCACCATTGCTGTGACACTGAAAGAGATTATTGATGTTACAGATTTGATGTTCTTTTTAAACGGTTGTAGTTCGTGGAATGACTTACGTGTTTCTTGCTGAATTTCCTTGAGATCATCACGAAAATCGGTTTGCCCAGGAGCATGATGGGAATGCAGAGGAGCGCGATGAACACGAGGATTTTCTGGAGGATCGGCTGGAAGTCGAACATGTAGACGTCGCATCCTTTCGGTGCATCGTTCTCCTTGAAGAGCATCATATTGATGAAGAAGATGAGGACGGATGGGGCGCAAGAAGTGCCGAATTTAACGTCAGTTCCTTGAGCCGTGTAGAAGACCCACTTGAGGAACATCATGACGACCATCCAGGCGAACAGACAGATGAGGAAGAGTATTTGGGGCAGGAATTCCAGGAAGATGCTGCTGATCTTCTTGAAGTGCACGAAATTGATGACGCTCATGCAGACGCCGAAGATCATGTGCAAAACGCCGAAGATGATCGAAAGTTTCATCTTGTACGAGTTCAAGAAGATGATCTTGTTCTTGGCCAACTGCCAGACGGGGTCCAGCCCAACCGGATACGGGATTGCTGAGGCGTCCGTCGTCGGGTTCAGCTCCATCGCTTCGTTCATCTCGACGGTCGTCCAGTTATAGGATTTTATGTCTTCGGTCCAGGTGCTGCCGAAGATGTTCATCGACTTGGAGAAGACGTCGTTGTAGAAGAAACCGGTGTAAATGGAGAAGATGCCCATGAGCAGAATGATGTAGCGACCTGCGAAGAAGATGTTCCAGATCTCGTTGTCGGTCTTCTTCGCGGACAGCTTCTTCTCGAAGCCGCACATGTAAGCGCCGAAGATGAGGAGGACCAGACCGTGACCCAAATCGCCGAACATGATGGCGAAGAGGAACGGGAACGTGATGATCGTGTACAGAGCCGGATTGCATTCGCGATACGAAGCGACACCATAGGAATCGATCAGATTCTGGAATCCTCTGGTGAATTTGTTGGTTCTGTTGAAGGTCGGCGGATTCTCCGTCGTGCTGATGACGTTCAGGAAGGACGGGATGGAGCTACCGCACGAGTTCGAACCATCTGTTAACGCCTTCTGCACGACTGAGATGTCCTTCACCGGAACCCAGCATTCGCCGATCAAACACTTCTTCGTGACATCCATGTTGAAGAAGTTCATCGTGTGGTAGATGGCCTTCATCTTGCGCACCATGACGCTCCAGTTTTGCAACTCCCTGGCGACGCTGATTAGAACGCGCTGACGGTGATCCTCAGTTTGATTCAACACCAAATTTAAATCTTCCAAACGCGACTTGACTCCTTTCAACATCTCGTCACGTTCGCTGATGCTGCTCGGACAGGGGTAAAGGGACGCGTGGAACCCGATGCACACCTTCTTGATGCGACTCTTCAGCTGCTCACCTTGGAAGAAGGCGACGAAAACGGTCTTGTGCATTTCGTTACCCTGTAAATAAACAATTAACTCCCAAATCCAATTGCAGAATTCAAGTACTCACAGTAGCCGGATCCTCCAACGGTTTATCGATTTCCGCTTGACGCAAGAAAACGTTTCCTCTGGAGATGCGCCACAGCATCCTCTCGAACGCAGGGACGCGCTCGCGATTCACCACTCCGGCGACAAATCCAAGTCTACCGCGAATCGATACGTTGTGAGTATCTTCAGGAATCAAAGCCCTGTGCACCGAATCCATCCCGTTGGTCTCTTCGTGCTCAACGAAGAACGTCTGCGTCTTCTCCAGCACTTGCCTCAACTCGGTCAACTCCAAGTAGTTAGACTTCATGTTAACAGCGCTCTCGGACAACTCCTTGATTTCACCCTCGGTCTTCTCCAGATGCGCTTCCAAATCGATAATCTCCCTCGGATTCGGAGCTTTCGGTAGTTCCTGCACATCAGGTATCGGGACGCTGTCCTTCTTCACCTCCGCTTCAATGTACCTCAGCTTCCTCTCCATCTCATCGCATCTCCTCACCTCATTCACGAACTTCCTTTGAAACGAATTCACATCTTCGTTCAACTACAAATTTAAAAATAAACATTCAATTTTTGTTTTTTATTTCTCAAAAATACAATCATCTTACATCTCTGAATTGCACAGTTCCCAACTCTCCTAACTCGGACATCGATGGATACGCAGCCTCCGGTTGGATGAAGAGCTGCGCGAGGACCATCTCCTCGCTCCTGAACATCGCCCCCATCGCTCTTGAATTTTGTTATTCCACCACCTTCTGCAATCAAACATCAATTAACAAACGATTAACGATTCTTCACTTCCGCATTCATCAATTTGGACGGATATTAGGGTGGGTAAGTAGCGCTAAATGCTACTGTGTTTATTCTAACTCGCGTATTTACGTTCTCGTAAAGCGATATCATAACATCCGCTTTATGACCACCGTGTAAATATTTAGTGTAATTGCTAATCAATGAATCGATATTATTACTGTCGTTTCATACATTTGGCCTGTTCAAAGTTGAAAAAAAATGTTTTCACAATTTCGTGATTATCTCGGAAACTATAATAGATAGAACGAATCCAAAAGATTCATATGAAAGCTGGATATTTGAGGAAAGTAGCTAGTATTCATATTTTTTGTGGTTTCATCCATTTCTATGTACAAATGATGAAAAATTGAAGAAGAAGAAAAATCAAACGAGTAGCGCCACTCGACAATCTCGAGTACCTTTCCTTTCATGTATTATCAAGTGGAATTCAAGTGTGTTAGAAAATTATTCAATAATTGATTTATACACGATTTCCATTGTTTCTCCAACAACAATTAAAAAAAATAGCTTCATTCAAAACGGGCACATTTTATTATTTGCTTTTAACATTCTTTCACGCAATTATTGCTGTTTTTTTTCTCTTTCTAATTATCATGCGAAAAGAATGGTTATGATCATCATTATATTGATTGCACGAGCTCATAAACATTATGAAAACTTATGACTTGCCATTAAATTATGACATTGACAACTATGCAAAGCACTCTTTTTTTCATTGAAACATTGTTTTTGTAATTGAACTGTAATTATACAAAAAAAACGATTACGTTAAGTCACATTACGTTACATTTATCAATATGATAAATTACACAAGAATCTTAAATATTTTGCCCAAATCTATTTATTTACACACACAAAAAATTGTAATTATATAATATTGCATTCTTCCTTATCGATGACAGACAAAAGTCAAATTTTCAAAGCAATCTAAGACTTATTCTTTTAATCAAAAACAATGTTTGTAATTGACCTTTAATTAATTCAAAACTGCGTGTATCGTACTGATTACATAAGAATGTTAAAATAATTCAACAAAATCAATCGATGACATTTCATTAAAAACAAAACGTCAAAATTGCAATTGAACATAACTTTCATAATTACATAACTTTCAAGTAAAACCTCTATAATCTGAATAGAAAATGTTGAGGCTCGTTAAACGAAAATTTAAAGTAATCATTATGTTTCCATTTATGTAATTTAAAAATTATTATAGAAATTTTAATTTGCCATAATAAATGATGGACGTAGACGAAAATGTATAAGAAAAATTGAAAATTTTGCAAATTGTGTAATAAAAGCATGTTCGTTTCTCAGTGATACGTGTTTCTATTAGTTTGTAGAAAGGCGGCGGCGGCCGTCGCATGTGATCGGATTATGTAATGAAACTCGAATTTTTTGGCCTTAATTAGTCGTTTGTTTTCTTATATTTCAAATATCTTTAGTATTTTCATTTCATTTGTTTCAAGCGTTTAGTAAATGAATGAAATGGAGAAGAAAATAACAAAAAGATGGATTAATTTAATAATGTAACTACTTCGTGATCACGTGAATAAAACAAATAAACGACGTTTCGTTGGTTTTTCATCTAAAAAAAAATGTTGAAACAAACATGATCTCATTCATTTCACTTGTTTTTCCATTGCATCTAATTGACATAAATTTAAAAAAAAAATCAAGTTACAGTTTATTTTTTGGGTGTGTTTCTCGAATGGTCACATGATCAATTACATAATTTTTATTTTGTTTTCCTGCTGTTTGAAAACAAATGATTCAATTGAATTTGTTTTTCTTAAGAATTCAGCAACGCTTCCAGAAATTGGTTTTCCGTGAAATTTTCTAAATTGTTTTTTTTTCTTGTTACACTTTTTTAGAAAAACACATTGATACAGTTGATTATCGATTAAAAATATAAAGAAAACTATGATTTCTTGTAACTAATAAAGATTTGCTTTAGGCAATGTTACAAATTGTAACATTTGGGCGTGCTTTTGAAGCGTGACTTTGAATTGAATGATCACGCGCTCGAATCTAGTTACGCGAATTCTCTTTTGTTTTTTTCTATCTTCTAATGTCGTTTAGCTGTTTATGAAACAATTGCGCGCTGATTGATCTCGATAAAATAATTGAGTGAATCGTAGCTTGCTTTGCATTTTCTCAATTTGAAAGTTACGAAAGAAAAAGATTCTTCGATGATCTTAAATTGTTTGGGCGTGCATTTCCTTAATGTTAATAATCACGAGACCTGAATCACAGTTACGTAAATTCGCTTGTTTCTTGTTGAAAAATTGATAAACTGATTCTGGTAATTGAATCTGATAATCAGGAGATTGGATCAAGTTAGTTAAACAAAACCAATTGATTGGTCTTGTGACTGGTTTCGCGCGCTCGATTACGCAACTGGTGATGAACGGAGACTCGTGATCGTCTCGCAAAAACAAAAGATGTTTCAGGTAACTTCGATATGAACTACTCACTTTAATATATATTAAATCTCACTGTTTTCGTTCCTTTCTTCACGGATTGAACTGTAGAAGAAGCACTTCTTTTGCCGTCGCTTTGCGTCCGTGAAACGGCTCTTCCTTCCACCAACTGAACGCTTGATCAGAGCGCACGCAACACTCGCACAAACAGCAGCAGCACGAGACGATTAAAGAGTCACATGAGTTTAATAATTTGTTAAGCAAATAATAATGGGCTCCGCCGCTTAGGATCGCGACGGCGTTCCTCTCTCTAAATCCTATACATTTCTTCGCTTTATCTCTTCTCTTCGGCTGCGAATAGTGAAAAAACAACGTTCTTTTGGAGAACGAAACCAAAGCAGGAAACCCGAAAACCGGCTTTAGAAGAAGCAACAAAAAAAAAAGGGAATATTATTTGACCTTTTTATTTTTAATTTACTATTTCCATGTCGGAAGGTTATCGCGATGGGAAAGCCCGAGGTCTCTCTCTCTTTCTGTTGTGTGTGTATGTGTATGTCTGCTTTGCATGCGCGTACCTCCTAAAAACGGAATTCAAAACACTTTATTCTTAATTAGTTGAACGCCCTCACGTCCCTCCTATTGCAATTCATAAATTATTCGATTCTTTTGGTTCTGGTAAAAGGACATTTCCTATTGGAATTTGTATTTTGAAGGCAAAGTTTTTAATAATGCAAGTACAACAACAGCAAAGCAGCAATGACGGCGCCTGACACTGGCCGAGTTTTGTCCGAGGCCTCAAGGTTTCCTCTCTGTATAATTCATATGTCCGATATTGACGTTCACCGTCACGCGATCAATTTTTTTCCATTCGTGGTAATCAAAAGGCGATCTACAAGAAGGTGCGAATAAATGACTACCAAAAAGTAGGAGAATATCAATAAAGAGTTGAAGGTATTGTTTGGATTTACTTGGAAAGTTTTATTTAACTTGACAAGATTATTACAAGTTTGAGTAGTATAATTAATCTCTACAATATGTGCGTACTTCTAGATTAGTAACTATTACCATTTTCCCGTAATTCGCATTCAAAGTTGAAAAAACGTTAAAAAATCCAGTGTTTTCACGTTTTGGGCTCTAACTCGACAACCAATTGCACTAATTACTTGTTTGAGCAGTGTAATTAATCTCAGATATTTAGGCTACAATATGTGTATACTTCTAGATTAGTAACTATAATCATTTTCCTGTAAATTGCATTCAAAGTTGAAAAAACGTTTGAAATCCAGTGTTTTCACGTTTTGAGTTCTAACTCGACAACCAATTGCTCTAATTACAAGTTTGAGTAGTGTAATTAATCTCAGATATTTATGCTACAATATGTGTATACTTCTAGATTAGTAA